GAAACCGCAACAGCCGAAAAGTTCTGCCAAGAAATTGACGAAATGCATCGAAAAGTCCAGCTCATGAGCCCGGCACTGGTGAATAGGAGGGGGCCAATTCTACTCCACGACAACGCTCGGCCTCACGTCGCACAACTTACCCTGAGAAAATTGATGGAGCTAGGCTATGAAGCTCTCCCGCATCCACCATATTCCCCAGACCTTGCTCCCATAGACTACCATTTCTTTAAACATCTCGACGCTTCCTCAAGGAGAAATGCTTCAAAACTCAACATGATGCCGCCTCTAGATTTCCGGACTTCTATGCGAATGGGATACTCGAACTTGTTTTTCGTTAACAAAAGTGTGTCGACAGTAATGGTTGTTATTTCGATTGATGAAGTTTCGTTCAAGCCGAGATATATGCATTTGAAGTTCGAGGCGCAAAACCGCAAGAACTTTCTTCACGACCTAATATTTATACAGTTTGTACTCTAGGGTAGTCCTTATAACTTACTGACTTTCAAGTTGTAAACAAAAAGAAGTGCAATCGAAGTTAGGCAAGTTAGGCAGCGCTTTATGTACATAGGTGCCACAGCTAGAAAAGCCCTACTAGCAAAAGCAATTAGAAGGCTCTATAATCTAATAAGTATGTATAGGTTTTGGTCACCTACATCTCTTGACGGATTCATGAGAAAGATACCTGTTGCACCTAGAATAACTCTGATGCAACTTTATAACATTATAAATTATAATTTTATTATAAAATTATAATTTATAATGTTATAATGTTGCATCAGAGTTATCCTAGGTGCAACAAACGTACATTATAATTTTTATGCTTTGAAACTGTTTCCTTTTAGTTGATGGATGGCGACGATGTTATACACTATGGTTCCTGTCATTGTCAAGCTGTAAAATGGTCTTTGCAAGCTCCGAGAACTCTTGATTGTATTAAATGCAAGTGAGTATTTACTATTTACCTGAGAATGACTTTGCATTGGAAAACCCTTGTCTAAGGTAAATGAACGGAATTTTTACTGAAGTGCTTCATCGCTTTATGAACATGATTGCTTCCATTTGCTTGAAATACTAAATGCTTTTGTTATTAGTTGCTCCATATGTAAGAAGAAATCGAATCATCACTGCATCGTGAACAAAGATCGTTTCACTCTATTACAGGTACTTCAGACCTCTTCTCATACAGAAATTTCTTGGCTTTGCTACCAGTCTACGAGTAAGTGTTCGCAGAGAAAACCAGGTTGACAGTCCCTACTGCGAAAAGCTGTCATGCACGGCTACTTTTTCCAGTAGAAACTTGCATGGCAACTGATGTGAACCAACATACACCTCATCCTCTCTAATGACCGCGTTAGTATAACAAATGAAAAGCTGACATGAGTGGTGGTGACTAGCATCAATCGATAAATGTATACATATATACATTACATATAATATATATAGATAGATATACATACATACAAATGAAAGTTAGTCACCACCATTGATGTCAGTTTTTCTAATATATAGTGTATATGTGTATTGCCATTATATTATATAAAAAGACATGCATACATTTATACACATATTATACATGCATACATACATACATACATACATACATACATACATACATACATACATACATACATACATACATACATACATACATACATACATACATACATACATACATACATACATACATACATACATACATATGTCATACATATATGTCATACATATAGTTTTTATAGTTTTACATTATATTTACACATATGTATATATAACTTTGCTGCAGGACTGCAACACTAATCACTCTGACCTTGCATTTTTTAAGGACGGAACACTAGACTGCAATTTTTATTATCAGTCTACGTTGAAGGTCGTAGAGGTGATATACTTTATATATCTTTCTTCAGGGTGAAGGCAATCTGACAACGTACACATTTAACACACATCAGGCTAAGCACAAATTCTGTCGCACTTGTGGTGTGCAGTCCTTCTATGTTCCCCGATCCAATCCAGATTGCATCGGTGAGTGAAATATATTATAATTTGAGTAATTAAATGCTTTTACGAAGATGGTTAGTTCTGGGGACATCCAATTATGGTATAGAACCTTTTGATCATCGTGATATTAGACACATTGAAAAGTGCATCTAGCATGGATCAAATAATTGATTGTTTGCCTTCGCTTCGCAGGGTCCGCTATTCTTGTGGACCGTCTCCACTTCTTTCTATTTACGACATCTTCAGTCGTTCCCTCAGCTTTGGCGACGTCTGGGTGCACGGACTGTCTCTCGTAATACTGCTCACTCAATTATCTGTGAACCGCTCCCATACTGAAATGTCACACTAGGGGCGCAAGCGAGAGTCCATTGTGGTGATTGATCACATGTTCTTTGAATGCATGTTTTCCAAGAGTATTTGCCGAATTTGAACCGGATCTCTGATCAAAAACAACCGGCCCTTGCCTATGCTGCATATTTCATGAACTGGTCTCAAAGGTCGTGGTCATCAAACGTGTTCTCTTAATTTAGTTACTTTTGTAGACCAACTTATACTTTTTGATGACGCTAATTGACATCGCTGCCCTTATAGGAGTATCATTACTTCCTAAACAAATTTCCTACCGTGATAGATATGAAGTGCCAGATATTTGTCCAATAATTGGTGAAAAGCTTCCGGAAACGTGGTGTTTATCTCACAATCAGTATGACCCTCCCTTCAAGAAACGCCAACAAAGTCGGACGTTGACTACGGGCTAAATAGAAACAATCGTGTCGGTTCAATACGTGTCCATACCAATTCGCGATTTTCGGTCAAGATACAAGGCTGAGTGCTTCTGAGCTATTTGAGCTCTCGGACCCTAGTTTGCTTTCAATGTCAAGAGCTAGTAATGCTGGTCATAGTTTTTTAAGCAATTTTCGCTAACCTTTTCCTTCATTGTAGCATGAGCATTATTGAAAACTCTTTTACTATTGCCTTAGTGTTTATTTTACTAATTTGTCAATCAAATTATGCAACGAGAATAGGCACATTGAAAATATTCGTGTTTTCAGGTATCATGCCGCACTGCATAGATTCTCCAACGGTGAAAGAATTACGTTTCACTACGTTTGACGGGCAACATTGGGAAGATGAAATGGCGAAGAAAGCTCTTAAAGCACTATAACAGATACATTATTGACGAAAGCTATAATTCTCGAGGGAGATCATCTAAAACTCATCACCAATACATTTGTCGGCTAACAACTTTTTAGAGTAGATTCCGAGTTTACGTATGTATTCAAGGCGATGTGTAGAAATTGTGAAAAGTTTCTTGTGGTTCTTTTTGTGAATTTTTGCAGATTGTATAGTTGCCTTCCAAAAATCCTGCCTTAACCGTCAAATAGATTCCGATTGCAGGAATGGCTTATTTCATCACAGTGATTTCTTGATTCACAACCGAACACTTGTCCACAACAGCCCTTCTTGCCACGAATCTGTTTCATCATTTTTTTATTGCTGTAGAATATTCATAAGCGACCTAAGCTGCGGCATAAGCTTTGAGCGATCAATCAAATTCTAATGATGCAGTTAACCAAATGCTCTACTTTGAAGATAGGAGGATATCAAAATGAGTTACCAAGTACTTGAATTGTAAGAGAAGTTTTTTGAATAGTACCCTTAGGCGTAAGACATAAATTTGTTCAATAAAATCTTTTTTTTTCTCATACGAATCCCATAAGAAGTCGACGAGAAATTTTATAACGCTCGTGAATTCCTGCACGGATGTTGAATACAATGCGCATACAAAAAACCTCGTCAATGCCTAGTACATTGCCGGAATCCTCCGCTGTTCAATGCTTTTCTCATCAGCTGGTAGGTTTGTTTTTTGAAGGGCCACAACTAAGGCATTGGAGGGGTGAATCGTCATAAGGTTCAACACGAGTCTTTGAGACGCCATAATTCAAATAAATTTATTTGGTTCTTAAAATTAAAGTTAGAACTGAGGCATGAGAGTTATTTCTGAAGTTCAGCATTGCTATTCTTCAATTCGAAAGGAAATCAGGGTTTGGTCTCCAACCATCGTCTTGTCTTCAACTAACAACTCGAACAACTGCTCGTTGCTCCTGGAAATGCTGCTGTATGAGTTTCACTAACACTAACAAAATTGTCCAAAATTTCAAAGGAACAATCCTATTTTGGGCGCAATTATTGATCATTTCCCTAGAACAATGCATATGTAGTTTGAAATCTCTTAAAATAGCGGCCTGAATGTGATGGCTCAGTATCAAAGACTGCCGAAATTGCTTAGCTCATGGTGCAGTAGTGATGGAACTGCGAATACTTTTAAGGAAGCTGTCTCGAACTTCTAATATTGATTCGAATACTTTTCATGCTGTTTTGTTTAATATAGGCAATGAGTGATATCCGAAACTTCATCGCCCTGAAAGGACCTCAAGATCTTCTCTCTCCCCTTATGAATGAGTGAATGAGCTAAGAGCTTTTAGTGCTGAAGAGAAGGGTATTCTGTCGAAGTAAAGCTCGCAATGACGAAATGCACTAGTTGTATATCTAGAGCTTTTGCTAGAAACACACTCTTAAACGGGTGAACCAGTGTGAAACACTTGTCCCACACTTATCCCCCTATCATGAGTGCTCAGAAAAAGTTGGCACTCTCAAGCGTTACTATGCTGTGGTTTCTTCTTTTCTTTTCACTACAAGTCGATAGTTTTATTAGGAAGATGAAGAACTAAGTCACCTGTGAGCAGCATCCAAGGTCGTCCTAATCGTCGTTGTGCCATGAGAAACCGTCTAATGCCTGATGCTGGTACCGGCATAACTGGAACTGCCGGTACTGGAACTGGTACTGGGACCCTTTCATATCTGATGCAACCGCATCCAGAATCATATGTACCACCGTATCCTTGGCTAGGACCTTGATAAGAACCCTGGTAAGATCCTTGACCTTGATAAGAACCCTGATAAGATCCTTGGGAGGAGCCCAGGTAAGGATTTTGGTAGGAACTTTGGTAAGGACTTTGGTAAGAGACTCGGTAAGTTCCTTGGAAAGAACCTTGATAGGGACCTTGGAAAGCGCCTTGGAAAGTTCCTTGGTAACTTTGGCCATAACATTTTAGAGGAATTCTCTGGATGAGAAGAAGTATGCAGTAGAAATAAATTCGCATTCTGCAAAGCAAAATCATTCGCCCTCAGTGTGAATTCGAGATGAACACTCCGCAACAGCTCTGTTGGCAAGTGTAGAATAGTTGTAGACGATCCGCGGCATAATACATAAAATTTAAGCACCCACTATTTGGTTATCCATTGTGACTACTCCTCTTACATGACATTTTTTCAGAGATGCAGAATAATGTGTCAACAGCTGAAACCAGAAAAGCGAGACGATTACGAATTGAAGGACCTTGAATTCTCATCACTATGAGAGCATATTTGAAGGAGCGGTTTGTTAACCTACCCTCTTCCCAAGCCCACTTCAGCTCACCTTCGCTGCATTTTACATTCACCGGTTGACAAAAAATTTAAAGCACAGTCCACGTTAATTTTGAGGTACCCGTTTTTATTCGAAAAGTGGAAGTATAGATTTAGAATAGTTCATCGGTAGTGAAGAAAGCGAAAGAACTCGCCGGTTTCGAGAAAAATATGGCTCTTAAACAGTAGAGAAAATAGAGGTTGAACGAGATTGCCATGACGAAAATAACATAGAAGGGATATTCGGACGAGGTTCCAGTCATTGCAATTGCTCAAAGAGCTGACTACATCAGGCCAAATCTGTACAGAACTGTCTTTCGCTGTCTCTATGGGTCATGACGAGTTGCCTGGGCCTCCTACATAGGTTCCCGGGTCCGGAATCTTCTCCCCGAAAATGGCATCGCCACGCCGCACGATCTTGATCGTCGCTGCGGTCTTGGTCGTCGCTAATATAGGAGGAGTCATTCTAATTAATCAAGTCTCATAAACATAAAAACAAAGAAGAAGCAGAAAAAACAATCAAATCTAATAAAAAAGAAAGGCAATCAGCAAAAAATATTGCGTCCTATCGATGGGCGGGGAGGCGGGGTGAGTACGGTAGTCCGGTAACGCTTCCTTGTGAATGGCGCAGCCTCTGCCATGCCAGTGAAACTCGTCCGAAATACACACGGGCCAATCTTTGAGCCTTTATAACTCTCTAACTAGGCCGTTTTCCGAACTAATAGTGCCAGATTTGATACTCGGGAACCTCAAATCCATCCTGTAGAGGAATCTCAGGAAGCATTTCTATCGTGAACTGCGCCTCTGAGCTGCTCGTACACTGCAAGAAAGTTTGACACCTCTATTGGTGCGTAGAAAGAGAAGGTCATGTCCAAACGCTGAGTTCTCATCAACTTATTTATTGATTTCAGAGAGTTGATCGCTGTGAAAATGTCATACAACGGCTTCCTGAAGGGTATTCGTACTCCTGGCCGTGCGTGTGTGATAATGCGCTTGTCATGGCCTGTACCTTTAACACCTGCTTCTACTCTATGATACCCTCTAAACAGCCATTCAAATACCTTTGCAGGTCCCAATGAGTTTTTAGGTGAAATTATAGAAAAATAATCGAACTGCTAATCTATGTATGTGCTGCAATCCAAAGACCACAGGTGACGACTACCTTTTCAGTATAGACGAGTTTCTTTGACAACTCTTTATTTCATGGTACAGTTCACTATAAAAAGGACTGCTTCTGAAGAAATAGTTTTTCTGAAGCAATGTAAATTAGCAACACAGCTTCCATACCAGTCCTTTTAAATCTTTCCCCTCCCTGCTAAGTAACGGTATCACGATAGCCTAGGTCTTCGGTTCTCGAAACTTCCTCTACCCTCATGCTCACATTTTTCCAGTGTAGAATTGGAAAACACCCTCCCGTCTCCATTCAGTAGATTGACCTGTAGCCAGAATCCTAGCATCAGAGGAAGCATCAGGGGTCTGCTGAGTAAGCGCACGAGCACATCTTACTCGTATTATTCCTACCCAACTCCAAGTACATCCTTGTGCTGTACAGCTTCTTTAAAAGGGAACATCCCAGGCATTCATTTTCCACTAGAAGTAAAATTTTTACCGGCTGAAGGCTGGGATGAATGAAGCTTTGATACGAGAGTTGTAGATAAGTCTAGGTAGGCAATCCAGCATTGATGAAAATGCGTTAAACTCGCGATCCAAGAAATTTCTAGAGCGGGGCATAGGAGTCAGTAGAAATTTGAAGATCACGATCATTTTAAGAGTAACGTGTAACAAGAGTAAGTAGTGCAAACAGTAAGTAAAAGATATGCGATCAAAACATTATGGTTAGAGGAAAAGTAAAAACTTTTTCATTGAATAATGCCTGTATGCCTGTAGGTTAGAAATAAATACAGTTTTCTAGTGAAAACAGTAGCTGATAATTCGTCGAACCACGCCCATATTGTGTTTTTCAGTGAATGCCTTCTAACAAACAGCCACCGGTTCAACCTGGCCTGTAATTAGAGAGATCAATCACACGTGACCCATCTTGATGTTCTTCAGACGTGCTCCAAAAACAGGAAATGGATGACAAAAGTGTCATTCATTCATCGACCTGGGTTGTCGTTCTGAACCAATTCGCTTCCTTTTTACCGAACCTTCTTCAGAAGAACATAATTCAACGATTATTCTGCTGTTTAATGAACGATTCTATGTGTTAGCAACCATTCTTAATAAGAGAGAAGGGGCTGCATCACCTCGGGATTACCCTATACGCTCGAGTACAGGAGAGAATTGTCAACGAAAGAAAATCAGGGGCGCTGTTACTTACGTCAAAGAATCAAAGATAAGGTGCGCCGTACATGTTATGCGATATTGTGATGACCGTTGGAACTGGACGGTTACTGTCTAGATCGTTCATGCCTTTAAACGAAAACCAGGACAGCAGCCGTGTCCAGACTTCTTTCTAAAAGCTCCGAACGTCTCATTGAGGTTGACCTAATGGTCTATCTTGAAGTCGCAACAGGACGAATGAAGACGCTGAGTGGGCACGTGCTGAAGGAAATCGATGATTAAAGAGACAAAATACGATAAGGATGATCACGGATGCTCTTTGATTCACGTGGACTTTCTAATGAACAGTTCTCATTTCATTATGTTCACTCCAATGGTCAGATAGAAAAGTGCAAGATGATCACATATGAATTAAACCCCACATTGACTACTTTACCCACCAAAAGGAGATGGCCGTTTGTGAAACTCTGCGTTACATGCATTATAAGTTTACGGTGAATTTNTTTGGTCGGACTGACGCGCCGTACTAAATTCTCGTTTCCGTTCTCAGACTGACATCAACACAGTGTAAAAAAAAACAATTACTTTACCAGAGCAGGCAACACCACTCCCGACCAGTATATTGTTTCAACACTCCATGGAAATTTGAATGTAGTACTAGATGTACCGACAGGAAGGAAAGCTACTGACAAATATGTAAATGAGAACTGCTTGGAGAGTTTTTCAAACATTTTCTCAGCAGCCAGAATTTGCTGGGAATAAGTGTCATTATTAATTGCAAGATCAGCCATGAGTTGTTCAATGATGTGTTTGTGTTCTTCAATGGAAAAGCAGTGGGTTCGGTCCTTGTCGATCCTTATCATCGCATGGTGCATTCCAGTTAAGCAAGGCCTTTGCTACTTTTTTCGACAAATACTCGAACAAACGTTGTATTTCAACTTCCACTCATGCTTATCGCGCATCTCCCTAAAAACAGTATAATGGTATTACACGTTAACTGTATAACTTATACTGTTTAGACACTGGTGAAGGTTCAACAATGATGACACACACAAAAAAGCGTGAAGAAATCAAGCCTCCTTCAGTATGAACACTAAATGCATGTGTATCGATACAGTATAGGGAACTGTGAACCGTCTAAAAAGAGGGTGTGAATAAATGTCAGCATATATGATAGAAACTCTAATTATCAGAGTCCACACTGTGGACAAATGAATGAATGTCAAACAACACTTGCTCACCTTGACCTAAAGAGAAGCAAGAATTTCAAGAAAAGACATCTGATTCTGTAGGGCTAACAAATGGCAGACCGCCTATGAATGAATTTATTAAGCCATGGTCAGCATGAGTTAGACCGAACTTCGTTGAAAAAACACGGAAATATTATGTTATTATGTTACTGATGAAGGTTTAAAATCGCTTAGTTTTGGTCAATCCCACTCTGAAATAGGATCTCCCACTAAACACTACTCAGAATCGTAGTGGAGTTTAGCTGCTAATCATGAAGTTAGGGTAATCCTTGAAATAGGTTTAGCTCGAAACGGAAGCTGAAGGGTGCTTCGAGCGCTGATGGAGGTGGAATGTATTGTGAATTTGTTGCTAAGGGTTTGAAGTTATAGTGTTCAGCACCCACTACAAATTATAACCTAACTGAGTTTCCATGAACTTCAGGTAATGCGTAAATACATGGCAAGGTTGTATAAATATCAGTCGTCGTTTGCTATTGTGATGTATCGTAAAAGCTTCCTCTATAATTCCTTCCTCATTTGCATCTCGTAAAGGCGCGTATGCATTGTTAGTATTACTAGGAATCTCATTCAGTGAGGGTACTGCCACTGGGAAATCCCAGCAGGTTAGCGGCGAGGCTTTCTAGGGCGCCTTCAGGTGGCAGATAGGGGAGTAAATCGCCAACCAAAAGTTGCCGATACTTGCTGAGTCCCTGTGTCTGCTGTGCAGGCTCGATATACCTTCTGTATCTAGCAGGTGTATTCACACATACGTGTGTGTAGAGTCTGTGCTGCAGAGGTTAGACTGCCCATCGACTCAGCCAAAAGCTTGCATTCGAGTTACTAGGAAGTATCTGAAAGCGATTCGGTGCTGACCCCAAAAACAAGTCCTCCTCCACTTTAGGGTAGATTGGCTAGCAATCGGAGTCAACCCAGTCCCTATGTTGGGGCCTGGCAAGCTTCTCGCTGAGTACCCTTTCGCCAAACTTCTTAAAATAAAAGGGCTTAATTCACCTGACCCTGAGAGAGCGCCCTACATGGCAGCGTTGGGTATTACCGCTCGGGCGAGCTTGCTAAAATCTCAGGGTCAAAACAGGCTGCCCAAAAGGCGAGGCGAGAAGGCATCTCTCGCTGCACGCTGTGTTTGAAATTGGAGCTGAACTGATTCTCGGAACATGCGACAGCAAGGCGTGGGCGGCATAGGTGTCCTCGTCGATGCGCACTTGGCCATGAACATCGATCCGTACGAAAGCTTAACAACCCGAATCGGACGTTTGTGATTAAGAAGATGTGGCTCAACCGCCGCTCTAACAATCTTCATTGCCTATGCACCAACATCAAACTACGAAGAAGAGGTGTTGGAATCATTTGCATGGATTCTGGGGAAATGTAAAGGGAAGACCATACTTTCTTCATGGTCATGGTTGGTGATTTCAGCGCTAAGATTAGCCGACGGCTGAAGAGGTTCACATCAGGACTCACAGAATGGAATGAGCAGGATGAAAAACTTTCCGAATTTACCATTTTGACCCACTCTATCTTTGGTAAAACGCAGTGCTAGTTGCCCTCTCAGATGCGGTGGACATGGGAGTCAAAGGTGGGCAATTCTGTAATGAGACTGACCACATATCTTCAATCAGAAAATTTGCCTGACCGACATCTCTGTAGTTCCGAATTTTGCCGCGGGATCTGACTGCGATTCTTTGTGCGTGAAGAGAGAGGTGAAGAATGAGGAAATGAGGTCCCATGACCGTCGTCAAATGGAACCACTTCGCCTGCGAGTTTCTGGAAAGATTGCGTTATCGGCAATATCGCTGAAGAATGCAACCGGCTCGTCGAACATCTTGACGATAGTGCTATTAAAGAAGAGAGTCTACAAACAGCCAAGGAACGACTTTCTTCGAAGACTCTTGAGTTGATACGCCAGAGGGAAATCGCGCGAGCTACAGGCAATCCAACAAACGTTCGAAGCTATGAAGAAAAGCGCTAAATGAAGATCTGAAAGAGTGTAGAGCAGTAGTTATGGACGAAGCCGTCGAGACTGGAAAGAGTATTTGCGAAACCCGATCGAACCCACTTACGAGGTCAAGATGACTTTCCCTAGTTGTCCTGATGGAACACTTGCTCTCGAAGGGCAATAAAGAAGGTCATCTACTATTTTTACTTCGATTTCTTCGATAACCACGTCTACCTGCCTAACAACTATCTTAGGCAAGACGGATATGTCGTCCCTCCAGTTCTCCCCTCCTAAATTTGACATGCCATCACATCGATGTACGGCGCCCGTCCCCATAGAATCAAATCAGAGCATCTGGAGAGCCTTACTCCAGTTAGTGTTAAAACCCACCCTAGCTTTACGCGCGGTACCTGTTGGAACGCAATGTGCCTACTTCGTGAAAAAGTCGCGAGATTGTGTTACTGTATAAGACGGGAGATCTCGACGATATTGGCAATTATCTGTCCGCTCTCCGTAATCTACGAATCATTCACCTGCATGATCTTCGACAAGATCGGCAGAATATTAAATGAAGAACAGCCATGCGAGCAAGCAGGGTTACGGAGAGGATTCAGAACAATCGATCATTCACACTGTTACAAGATTCATTGAAGTACCGCGAGAGTACAAAATGCCGTTATGTCTTACCTTATCGACTTGAAGAAAGCCTTTGATAGCGTGAAGACAGAAGCGGAAATCGTAGCGCTTCGCTGTCTTTACGGCAGGTTCACGACCAGGATTTCGCCATTCTAGAGGGAACTCATTGTCAACGTGGAGATAGGGGTTGGACAGCACGATACCACCTCGCCCAAACTTTTCAGCGCCGCTTTTGAGAATATCGTGCGTTATTTCGAATGAGAAGAGTTGGGACTGTATTTCGACGGCCACATCTTGCATCACCTCCGACGGCCGCTACTTACGTCATCTCCGCTTTGCAGAAAACACGGCCGGCAACAGACGGGGAAGAGTTTGGCAGTGCTTGTGGGAAGATCGGCCTGAGGCTAAACTTATCGGAGAGGAAGGCCTGCTCATGAGGAACGGATTTGAAACGGTTGTCCTGTGGTCGGATGCCTTCTTCCCTTTTTGTATAATTGCCACGCGAGACTTGCGCCTCAAACTTGGGTAGTTAAACCTTTTCATTACTACATAAGAAAAGCCAATAAGCGAGAATCGTGTACAAGGCACCAAAAACCGGCATTATTATGAGATTATTAGTAACACCGTAATAATTGACAACATGGTGGCGAGGCAAGATGAGTTTAAGAGATCGAGATGACAACAGAAAAACCTAGCAACACTAGTTAACATAACAAAATAACAATAATGGCATTTCTACAACAAATAAACAACAATATCGACATCATTACTAAGTAACATGGCAACATCAACGGCACTACAATAAACGAGTACAACAAGAGAACTTAGGGCTACAATAGAAAGTCTCGCTAAGTAGCAAAAAAATGAGAAACATAAAGAATTATCGCTTTATAGCACTCCTTCACAGCGTCCGATGATTAATGAGGTGTGTGGACTTTGGAAGTTCCAAAATTTCTCAGTGATACGGTAAACAGGAACCTTTGATCCATCGGGTCGCGCATGACGGCGGCCTTTGATCAATAGGTCGCGGTTTTTTTCCGCGACACTACTCAAAGAGTTGAGTATCGCTGGTCGCATGAGTTGAGGCCTTAACGATGTCTTGCCTCCCTTAGTGAACGCAGGTGTCGTAACCGTGCGTTGAGGCCGTCGATCACCAATTCGCAGTGTCGCTTGTCCGCCTCGATTTGTAGCGACACTTCCGGCAGTGTGCACACCGCCGACGCGTGGCCTGTCCTCTTACACTGAAAGCAGGGAATCTTTGCTTTCACGCAGTCGCTGTCGCCATCGCATTCCAACTCCAGGCACATTTGGCATCTTCGGGCTCTTCGAAGGTACTGCGCCCTCTCCTGCCCGGTGCGGATCTGGATGCAAGAGTCCGAATAATGGCGTCCGAGCGCCCCGCAAAAGACGCAGGGCATTTCTTCCTCCTCGTGGGGGTATATCCCTGCTAGGTACTCCAGCGGTCGACATACTTTCCTACGGGCGAGTTCCCTCCTGCGGCGGCTGACCTCCGTCAGCTCAGCTTCCAGTCACCCAATTTCCCTTTCCAAGGCTGCATCTTCTTCATCACTTTCATCCTCCTCGTGGACTGCCTCCATGAATTCCGCGTTGTCTGCCATTCTTGCTCTCTCCTCGTTCGCTTTCGCCTCAATCGCCACATCGACCATCACTGGGGCAGGTGGTGCCGGAGCCCCTTCCATCTTTCCCATTTCCTCTTGCACTCGCTTCATTGCTATATCCATGGAGTTGATCGCTTTCAAGACTTCCTTGTATGTACTCTCATGCAAAAGTTTCGGCCTTGAGTTGTCGTAGAGTGCCGAAGAATTCTTCGATCCCTTCCAGTTGGTCTTTGACGATCAGTTCGATGTCCTATTGGTTTACCAGCAGTGTCCTCCTTTCTCCATTGCGCGTGTAATACCTCTGGGGGACCTCCATCTTGGACTCCCAAGCCCTTGAGGAAATCGCTCGAGTCGCAATCAAAAGGGGCACTGATGAGAATAGCAATCGAAGAAGTTTAACAAAAGAATGTAAACAAGTTTTACAATTTTCAGTCTCTAACTCCATAATGCGGGCTTCGCGCTCAAGTTCACCATAAGATAAATTGCTATTATAGAAAACATGGGTCTTTTCCTTGAGCTGATCGAAGCGCTCGATGACGAGCATGACGTTCTGGCAGCTTAAAACGATGTCGTCGTACAGCTTGGTTGGCGACTGCAGCTTAGGCAAGGCGGCTTTGAGCCGTTTCAGTTCTCGTTTAACCTCTTCGCAGCGATCCATGCTGTAAGATGGGGCTTTACACAAGAACCGTTTGCTTAGATGCGTAAGGATTTTTCGCCATTCATTCATGTTGGCTCGAAAAAAATCGCAATTATTTTTCTTGACTTATGGTAGTACTCTACAGATCAAAAATTAAAGCCGTTTCGCCAAGATAGGNGTGAAATCTTTAAAAGGCAATTAAAACTGTCGCTTGAGCGTGAAAGAATAATGAAATGAAATGATACTACTTGAGGTGAAATGTTGTAATTGAAAACGAAACTATTTGCAAAATCGCTAGTGAATGTTAAACAAAGTAGTCAAAGAAACAAAGGTGTTATTCACAAGTACTACCTGCTGGGTGGTCGCTGTATCGCAGTTCTTCACAATGCTATATCGCACTTTTCTTAATTCTTTTTACGTGGGATACGCACACGATTCTATAGAGTATGTGCGTTTTAAGAATGCTATTACAATAATGCTATTATTAATCAGACATTCCAAAATAGTTGTACCTCTTTCAAACTTCGAGTCACTTCACGACACGATTAAAAAATTCGCTACTCTTCACAAATGGCCCGCGGCCGCCTAAATAAGTGTCACTAATGTTTCTATCGCGACGTTATACGACAACGAGAACCCGAGACGGCGTTTATAATCGCGAGGTTTCTACACAAATAATGTTCAGTGGAAATTAGTGTGATATGGGAAGGAGTTAGGTTGAAGAAATGCTCGGAATCCACCAGGAATGAATAAATGGAGAGGTATCTGTATTGTAGAAGCATGGAGGTGACATCAAGATTATGAGTAGGCAAGAAATACATGATGTTAGTTCGCTTCTCGCTAATCGCTTTCTCGGCGGGCAGACGATGAGACTGTCGCTATTACCGTGATCCTTATTTTTCGCGCTTTCGCGCATTTCATATGCGAAATTTAGAAGTGTTTGGGATATGTAGCTATGTCTACAGCCGATATTGCGAAATCCATGATCGATTGAGACTCGTGGCTATGACTACATTCCATGACTTACAAGGAAACCCTGCCTAGCACACTGATTTTCTGCGATTGGAGTTGTATGACTTTCGCAGAACGCTGATAAGTGCGATTTTCCCATCAGTGCGAGATGAATTCGCATCAAAACCCGAATTTGCTACGGGGCACACGTCAACTGATCATCAATGAGCGACTCCCTTGTGGTAGGATCCATGAGTTCGTCGTATTATTTTTTCGGCTAGTTCGCTCGTCGCAGGAATGATTATTGGAATTTCGCGCTTCCGCATAGCGACGCTTGTCCAAGTCGTCCACGTGCTTTCCAACGTCCATCCTTGTCTTTGAATAACTTCAGCGTCTTGCTCATTGACTTGATATAGTCAGACGAGAGAGTTGATGCCTGATGATTTTTGATGATTAATGTCTTTGCTGCGTTTACTTCGTGTCCTGTTAATACGAGGATCCGTGTAAGCGCATCTTATTTCTGGAATACTATTCAATATACGTTCCGCGCTTTCCTTTGATAAGTTCCTCAACATTCGGCGAATGAATCTCAGAGCCCATGCCATGACTCTTTGAGCTTTGCTGAATGAGGAGTAAACTGAGATTGGATTTCGCTTTCATCGTTTGCTGTAGTGAATGCGAGGGATGGTTCTATGATGCTTCGGTGAGTAGTAGTATTGGCTATCCGGAATATTGATGTGTTCCATTCCGATATTGGTTCTCGAAGGAACTGTGGGCCACCCCACCAAACATGGTGGTGTAGCTGGTCTTTCGAGAGGCCGCGTGTGCCAGCGTCTGCTGAGTTGTCTTTTGACGGAACGTATCCAAAGAAGACTTCGGTTTGCGTTGCATTTAACGCGTCGATGATTTTGTGGACCTCTTCCAGTCGATTACGGACGAGTATGCCAAATTCGTGATCGTCCGGAGATTACATTAACCAATTAGGGATAACTTGTGAGTCGGAGAGGATGAATATATTTCTTATATTGGCATATTTTTTTTATTTATTTCTTATATTTTTGCAGAACTTGATGGATTGAACAGGCTAATCTTGCAGCTATTGTCAAAGCATTCATTTTTGCTTTCGGAATTGTTGTCTCTTGTCTTTGATAGACGGTAGTTTTGACTTTGCCATCAGCAATGATGATTTTCGAATGAGATCTTTTCGGAATCCATTCGCATCCTCGCACATTTTCGTGTACTGTAATTGTAGTGGTTGGGAAAGTTCATGATCCCAAGAATAACCTTGCAGCCAGAGGTGTTGTTGAAACCACTTGAGTGGAATGAGAAGTGGTACGAGCCAGCCTAATGTCGTAGATAGAAGCAATGTGTTGAGCCACCTTCCTTTTACTGATGTTTCATGCATTAGGGAGTGTACAACTGATCGAAACGATGTCGTTGCTCGAATTCCACGCTATGCCTAGAACTTTTTGTTCTTTTTTTGGCGGAGTAAGCTACTGGTGGTAAACGTCTTTGCACTGCCGTGTCGTTTGCAAGAAATTCGCGTATGTTCATGTTCATTTGTTGAAATATTTCGCGAGCTTTTAACGACTTCTTTGCTATTTCGTCAGCGCTGTCGCCTGATAAAAATAAGTTGTGCACGTACAGGTTTTCGCTGATTTCGCTCGCTAAAGCTGTATCCTTCACCTCGTTGTTTATGTGGTGTCGGACTGTGGCTGCTAGAAGGAAGGGTGAAGCATTCAATCCGAATGTGACCCTTGTGAAACGGTATGTTGCAATGTTGTTACCCACAGAGGGTCTGTTTGTGTCTCTGACCCACAGGCATTGTGTAACATCTCTATCGCATTCGTTTAGTAGCACTTGCAGAAACGCTTTTTCTACGTCTGCCGTGACAACAAAGTTTTTCTGCGAAATCTTAACAGTATTCCATGGAGCTCCGGCAGAATGAGTGGGCCTTGATGAAGAATATCGTTGAGTGATGGTTGTCTTTTGCAGTGAGAGGAAGCGTCGAAGACGATGCGTAGTTTTGTTGTTTCTCTCAAGGGAGTTATCACTGGTTGATGTGGTAGATAATGTATCAGCGTCGAAGATTCTTTGTCGTTTTCTTCAACTTCTTCAATGATTCCCTTTTCGAGTTGTTCTTGAAATACGCCGTGGTATTGCTTGAGAACTTTAGGGCCCTTCTGTAAGATATTCACGACACCAATAAGACGATTGTAGGTTAGTGATTTATTTGTCGGTAGTGTTTCCCCGCTGTCTTTGAATGGTAGCCGAACATAATATTCGTCGCTTCTCTTCTCTATTGTGTCTTTGAAAAATTTCTCAACTTTCTTGTTGACATGAGATTTCTCGGCGTTTTTTGTGCCAGTAAATTCCTCAATGCCGCAGGTGTCTAGAGACCAGTAGCGGTCCCATCGCTCGAGTTCTGCTGCCTCTTGTGCGTTTAGCTGTGTTATCGTTGTTTTCTCGCCGGAAACGTTGACTTTGGTGTCCGTAATCCTTTTCCTTCTGCATAATTCTTGTTTGCCCCTTAGAAGGTATCCTAATTTTATGGTATTGCGAACAAATCTGATGGCAGAACATGCAATGTGTCTGCGCAGTTTAGAAGGGGCCACAATGTGTTGCAGCCCAGTAGCAGAGTGTTTTTTTCTGAGTGAGCTGAGTGTTTTTTTGCTCTTCGTTAAGGTGATTCCTTGTTGTTGCAAGTACTTTCGGTCTTTTGATGTGAGCCGGGCTTGTTTGCCTTTTTCTGTAATGACATCATTTATTCATAGTGAAAGATTGTGGATGTTCCCTTGGGTGTCCCAGAGTTGTAACTCGCAGACCTCGCACTTTTGATGACGGGGGGCTCTGTTGCCGAACGTATAAACAGACAAGTGCACACTGTCGATGTTTGGTAAGTTGAGTTCGTTCGCTAGTTTTCCCGTTATGAAGGATCGGACAGCACCTCTATCGAGAAGTATTTCTACTTCCTTCATTTCTCCACTTTTTGTATCGCAAACTTTCGCCATTCCAGTAAGGAGTAGAACTTTGCTCCTGGTTCTCTTTGGCTCAGTATTAGAGATGTAGAATGTCGAGGTTGATTCTTCTTCTTTATTCTGATCAGTCTTTCCTATGTGTGGATCTGGTGATTCCGATGATGCTGTGTAGTTTTGCCTCTGGGTAGTTCTTCCTGTATCTTGCTTTGTCCGTTTTGTTGTGTGTGTTGGTTAGGTAATGTTGTTTCTTTGTTGCGTAGAGCTTTCTTTATTTTGTCTTTTTGGACAAATATAAGAGTGATGCTCTTTGCCTTCGCACATGTTGCATCCTTTACTTATGCATTCTTTCAAAAGATGATTAGATCTCGTACAGTTAAGGCATCTTTTATACTTGAGTAAGAGCTGTGTTCTTTCTTTGATTGAGGCAACTTTGGTACATGCTTGAGAGCTATGTTCAGGTGAGTTGCAGTAAATGCACGACTGTAGTCGACCTAGTGGTCTGTCGTTTCTTCTTTGGCCTGTACTAGGCTTACTTCTGTTCTGTAGCGCTTCGTTGTTCGCTAACATTTCTTCAACCTTTTCTTCGGCTGTGATAAGCCTGTCCAAGTCGGTCAGTAGTTTACTCATAGACCAGTCGTCTTCGCGATGATCTGTTTCGAAGCGTTGTTGTAGGATTTTCTTCTGAAGACTTTGTTTGAACTTCGCCAGAATCTCTTGCACAGTGAAGGAGCCGTTTAAGGATACACCTTTTTGCTCCAACTGTGTTGTTAAAGCAAGAAGATATTCCAGTAGTCTTCGCTGCTCGCTGATATGGGTGCTGGTTGCTGAAGTTCGCTCAAGTCGCACTTGAAGGTCGTAGATCAGTTTGGATTTGTCGCCGAATTTCGTTCGCAGTACCTCGACTGCCACAGGGTAGTTTTCTTCCGTTACGGCGTATCGCCGTATCGCTTCTTTTGCTTCGCCCCTTAGGCTCTGCAATAAATAATTGAACTTTTGCAAGTTCGTCAATCTCTGGCTATGCACATTCGCGTCGATGATTTTCCCGCTAAAGATGGGAATTGGGATGATGGGTAACTCCACCATTGCCATCTCATCTCTCCAGATGATTCGCTCTGCGCTTCTAATCCCGTCGGTCTTGCTTCCAGTCGGTTTGCCAGAGAATATGCCTTCTCGAGAAGTTCATGGATCCTCTCCACGTATTCCTCGATTTGCTTCTGCTCTTCTTCCGATAGCATTTCGGCGGTCTGATCTGCAGTACTCGCCAGGTTTTCAAGTGTGTCGCTCACTAGCTTCAGGTTGGAGTTTACTTCCCTAGACATCTCTGAGTGGAGTCTCGGAGAGTCTTCTGTCGCAGCTTTGCTCGAATACTTCGCAATGACCTGATTCAACAGGTTCGAGAATCTGGTTAGACATCCTTTCTGCGATCTTAGTTGAACGGACCCTGTCATTTTGTTTGTTCGCAACTATGAGGGGGTTCGCTCCAATCGCTAATTCGTCAAAATAGTGAGGATGTAATGTGAAATGCTGAACAATTCCCAAGTAAGTCGTACCAGTAATCCGGATCGTTTGCTTGGATCCGATGCACCATGAAACGGTTATCCTGTGGTCGGATGCCTTCTTCCCTTTTTGTATAATCGCCACGCGGGACTTGCGCCTCGAACTTGGGTAATTAAACCTTTATCATTACTACATAAGAAAAACGAATAAGTGCGAATCGTGTACAAGGCACCAAAAACCGGCATCATTATGAGATTATTAGTAACACCGTAATAAGTGACGACGTGGTGACCAGGCAAGATGAGTTAAAGAGATCGAGATGACAACAGAAAAACTTAGCAACACTAGTTAACATGACAAAATAACAATAATGGCATTTCTACAACAAATAAACAACAATATCATAAGAAAAACCAATAAGTGCGAATCGTGTACAAGGCACCAAAACCAACAACAACAATAAGTAACATGGCAACATCAACGGCACTACAATAAACGAGTACAACAAGAGAACTTAGGGCTACAATAGATAGTCTCGCTAAGTCGCAAAGAAAAGAGAAACATAAAGCATTATCGCTTTATCGCACTCCGCACGAGCACCCCTTGACAGCGCCCGATGATTAATGAGGTGTGTGGACTTGGGAAGTCCCAAAATTTCTCAGTGATACGGTAATCAGGAACCTTTAATCCATTGGGTCGCACATGTCGACGGCCTTTGATCAATAGGTCGCGGTTTTTTCCGCGACAGGATTGATACTTAATGCTCCCTTAACGCTTAATGAAGGAATACCTCTGAACGCTACAGCTCGGTGCAGTAGGTCGGGAAGTAAACATGATGAACGACTTAGCTTCGTAGCTGAGCAGAAATAATCATGCCGCGTAGAGAGCACTTGCGAATATCGAGCGAGTAGCGAAAAGACAAAGCAGTCGAATTAACTTCCAAGTACGGCTTTCTATGAAACTCGGCATAACTGTATTGTTTTTCTGAACACTTCACGAGGTTTGTAAACAAGATTTATTAAGCTGACGTTTCGGCGATATCGCCTTCTGCAGGGCCTGAAAGGATCATAACAATCT